GAGGAGGCATATTTTCAAGATGTAGTTGGTGGAGTTTGTGGATGCAGAATTTGTGGACAAGGAGGAATGAAAATAAGATTTCCCATGCTAACTATTTCTATTTACTTGGCAGCTTTCAGAACCATGTTAACTTTTTGGGTTCCTTGTACTTTAGTTAATTAGTTTTGATTGTTTATTTTGGCCTGCTTTTGACAGTTGGCATAAAGCTGTGTTGAAGAACTTCTAATAGAAAGGCAAGCTATAAAATAAATAGGTAACAACCAGGCCAGATTGTTGGAGCCAGCGTGGTATAGTAGTTTGAGTGTTGGACTAGAACTCTAAAAGGCTAATGTTCGAATCCCTACTCAGCCATGGAAACCTCCTGGGTGACTTTGGTCAAGTCACTGAGCCTTAGATGAAGGCAGTGGCAAACTTTCCCAGAATAAATCTTCCCAAGAAAACCCAAGAATGGGATCTCCATGAATTGAAGTCAATTTGAAGGCACATGGCAACAACGAGTCCAAATTGTACGAAAGGGAAATGAACAAAAAATTAGTGACATTGTGGGTAGAAAATGTTTTCCACCCTTGCTGTGCCCTACAACATAAAGTTTTGCTTGTTGCTGTTACAGCCAGCTTTCTATGTGTGTATGTCATTCCTTCAGCTTTGGCTGAATCCACACTACAGAAATAATCCAGATTGATACCACTTTAACTTCCATGACTCAGTGTATGGAATTCTGGGAATTGTAGTTTTGTGAGACATATGGGGCCTTTGCAAACTGCTAGAAATAGTGCAAATTGAGTCCACTTTAACTGCCCTGGCTCAGTGCTAGGGAATCATGGGAACTGTAGTTTATTGTGGCACCAGAGCTCTCTGACAGAGAAGGCTCAATGTCTCAGAAAAAAAAATACAATTCCCATGATTCCCTAGCACTGAGCCAGGGCAGTTAAAAGTGGAATCAATTTGCATTATTTCTGGCAGTCTGCAATGGGCTTCAGTCTTCTCTGTAAGAAAGCTCTGATGCCCCAACAAATTATAATTCCCAGGATTCTCTAGCATTGAGCTATGGTAATTAAAGTGGTGTCAGATTGGATTATTTCTGCGGTGCAGATGCAGCCTTTGTGTCCATCCCATGCCTTCCTAACTGCTGTCATCCCTACTTTGCTTTCACTTCCTCTGCCACTTCCATACACAGTTGTTTGCATCAAGCAAGTCTAGTTTTGTGACAGTGGAAAAGAAAGCATACTATTGATTATACATGGAGCACATTAAGTGCTTTGTAGTCTTTATCTTGTTTTTTTCTTGCAAGTGTCCTGTGAGGAAGGTCGTTATTTTCCATTTTCTAGAATGCAGACAAGGGGGGGGGGTTTAAAAAGGGGAGCAGCGATGTGTGCAAGGCAATCCCTTGACTCTGTAGCAGAGGAAAGTTTTAAGAAAACTGTTGAAGTCTCCACTTGCCGCTGCCCATTACAACACGAAAGCTCACATCTACTACTTTTTCCAAGCATCTTTAGATATTGCTCTGATATCATTATAAACTGTTCTGTTTTCAGAGACATAGCCATGTTAGTCTCGGACATCAGTATGCAAAGGGATCTTGTAGCACCTTTGCAACTAACTGTATGAAAAAAGTTGTAGCATAAGCTTTCGTAGACTTAGCCTGCATCTAGAATGCAGAAATAATCTGGTTTGACACCACTTTAACTTCTATGGCTCAATGCTATGGGATTCTGGAAATTGTAGTTTGTTGTGGCATAGGAACTCAGAGTGGCCTGTACACTAAAACAATTTAAATAAAATCAATAAGGTGAGAGTAGATATCCACATGATATGAAATGGGTGCTGAATCAGAAATCAGAATATGGAACAGCTGGCTGAATTAGAAGCCGCTGCTCCAGTTCAGCTGGTTGGACCCTTCTCGGAGAAGGGTTGACCCTGAAATTTAGATCTCATTGCTGGCTTAGTTGATAAGAGAAGTCTGAATCCCTGTCTTGTAACCCATTTGATCCCTTCCCGGAGCTGATGACAGAACCTAGGACTTTAAGCTTTTTATTTGAATTTACTTAATCTTCAGTCGCTCCAGTTTAAAATGTTTCCCTCATTAGTGTATGGAACCAGGCCTCTCTCTATCTTAATATACCCCCCAGGTCTAACATTTGGAAAGTGCATGATGCATCTCATGAGAATGGATGCACAGCTGTGTGTATGTGTGTGTGTGTGTGTGTGTGTGTGTGTATGGCAGCAGAGTGTGCCTGTGTGTACATTGCATAGGGGCTCTCTTTGTGGCCAAGGCTGGTGCATGCTGACTGACCGCAGGGGAATTCATCTTCCCGCCATCCCCTCGGCTCCCGTTTTCTGCCGCAGTGCGTGAAAAATCGATGGCGCAAATTGATTCACTCCCAGCGGCGGCGAAACCCCCACCCAGCCGACCCCCACTTCCCACGGAACTGTTAATCAATTCCTTCACCAGAAGCTCATAAACAACTGCTCCCTGGATTGCAGGGGGGGGAGATGTTGGGGGCTGAAATTGCAAATGAGAGGGGGAACAGACTGAAGAAGAGAGACCCTTGGCCCTCAAGATTGCTTGAGGACTAAGAGAGAGAAGGGTGCTGGGTGGTTTTTGATTGTAGGGCTTTTTCCAAACTAGGGGAGCTCTGCTCAGATAGCAGAGGATACCCATGGTGGAACTGGTGGAATTTTTAGCCAGCGACTAAACCGGACAGCTGTGATGGCCGAGCACATTGTTAGGAATCGTCCCTTTATTTATTTATGTAGAGTTATATCCCAGATTTCTCCCAGAGGTGGTGATTTGTCTGATTCTAAAGAAAGAAATTGAAAGGGAACCTTGCTGAGTAGCGTGGGGCGTGTTGCCTGTGTGTGTAGTGTGCCTTCAAGTCATTTCCGACTTATGGCAACTCTAATCATGGGGGTTTCTTGGCAAGAGTTGTTCAGAGGAGGTTCGCCATTGCCTTCCCCTGAGGCTGAGAGAGTGTAACTCACCCAAGGCCATCCGGTAGGTTTCATGGCCAAGCTGGGAACTGAACTCTGGTCTCCAGAGTCACAGTCCAACATTCAAACCGCTATCCCACACTGGCTCTCTATGTAATCTGTACCACAAGTCAAATACTAGGGTTGCCAGTTCAAGATCTTGCCAGGCCTTGAGGTTTCTGAGTCAAAACGTGGGACCGAAGTACAGATACTAGTGATGTGATTAAGTTATTATGCATTAAGTACCAACCACACTTATTCACAGCTTGTCATTCAAACACAGCAGGAGCGGGCGAGGACAGAGCACACATTTACTTTTTTGGAAATTAAGAGAGAAATCTTAGCTAAAGGGGTTCTTCCCAGATGAAGATGACATGAAAAGACTTTATGCCTTCTCACTCACTGACTTAGGGAGATGAGATGGAGCCATCAATCTAGCCTACTTGCTTCTTGGCAGAATGTGGATGCAGAGCAGAGTGGAGGGTGAGTCCTGGAGTCACAACGAGTGGAAAGGAAGCAGGAAGCTAACTAAATAAACACATAGACTGCTTGAAGAGTCTGGCAAGTTTCAGCAACAAATCAATTCAGGCTTGCAAATTATAGGAAGCTACTCCTCTACTAGCTGAGTGGAGATTTGTACACATTCCTAGAGGTGAGCTCCCAGAACAGGCGAATTCACATCCTCGTCTCCTGCCTGGGGATGACCTGACCTGCAGTGGTTTGGCTCATGAGGTCCCGTAGGGTTCTGTTTTGCCCCTTGCCCTGGTATTTAACATATACATGAAGCCATTGGGAGAGGTGGTATGGAGTTTGAGATCTGGTGTCAACAGTATTCAGATGACACCCAACTCTATCTCTCCTTTGCACTTCAATCCAATGAAACTTTCTCTGTTCTAAACCAGTATCTGTTGGCAGTGATGGACTGGATGAAGGTGAACAAGTTAAAACTCAATCCAGATAAGATAGAGCTGGTCCTGTTTGTCCAAAAGGCAGATCAGGAAATAGAGGTTGAGCCTGTGTTGGATGGGGTTACACTTTCCCTGAAGATGCAGCTAGGAAGCTTGGTGTATTCCTGGTTTCACCTCTTACCCTGGATACTCAGGTTTCTGCAATGGCCAGGAGTGCATTTGCACAGTTAAAGCTAGTGTGCCAGTTATGCCCACTCCTTGGGATGTCTGAGATGATCACAGTGACACATGTCTTATTTATATCCCAATTGGATTACTGTGATATACTCTGTGTGGGGCTGCCTTTGAAGAGTGTTTGGAAACTGCAGCTAGTCCAAAGAGCTGCAGCCAGATTACCCCCTTGTTGCAACAGCTGCATTGGCTGCTGGTCTGTTTCTGGGTACAGTTCGAAGTTTTGGTTTTGACCTGTAAAGCCCTATACGGTTCTATATGGCCTAGACTGTTTTGAAAGACCCATATCTTCCAACAGGAACCTGTCCAAGCTTTAAGATTTGCAAGGGAGCCACGTTTTTCTATCCCAGGAATGGTTGGTAGGAACATGGAAGAAGACTCTCTGTGGCTGATCCCATATTTTGGAACTCTCTCCTTA